AACACACTCTTAGGCCAGCAGTTCTGGTGGACCTGTTCGCAACCCGGCCATCTTAATCACAATCGTTGCCGCGCTACTGAGCCCAGCCGCAACGTTCGGCCGTCCATTCGAGCTCTCCACAAGGAAGCTGTCGCCTCGTCTCTACCCGTTGATGGTTCGCCACCAAGACAGGCTTCCAGCGTCTTCACCAGAGAGCCGTTGTTGAGGTGAAACGGGGTTACCACCCCACGGTCCTTTTGGGCGGCTATCCACCTCCGATTGCGGTCTCAGAACAACAACTTCCGAGGGTCACTCGCTGTACTCTGGCTCAACTATGCAGTGGCTATTCAATGCTCCTTCGCCAGTACCAACACCGCCTCGACCTGTCCATACCCGACTGTGGCGCTTCTCCGCATGACTGTTGGCATCTGTTCGTCTGCAGTTCCCGGCCAGGCACCCAACTCACACCCCGTGGACCTTTGACTCAAACCGGCTAATGTTGAGGCTTTTCTCTGTCTCCCAACTGCACCAAGTTTGGACTCCGACGGGGACTCTTGATCCAACAAGGGCTACTAACCAACCAACTAACCGAGGTCAGACGTTTCTCGGGCCTCACTTTCTACTATAGGATGCTCATTAAGGATTGTACCCATATAACCACATCCATAACCAAGCTCACTCAGGAAGGGAGTGAAGATAAAAAAGATCACGCGCATTTTGGCGGCCCGCATTGGAGGGGCGGCCTTGAGCCCGAACTCCCGTGATATTCTTGACTCTGTCTTGACACCGGTTGCAGGAGGGTGAGGGTAGGCAGTGCGGCAGATTCGGCGTGGAAATCTACTAGCACTTAAAACTAAATCACGAACGGTGTTCTGACCTGCATTAGAAAAAGTGGCCAGTGCTGGATCCCGTCTCGGTCATCTTGACTCCGTCATGACACCGGTCCCGACGGCCGAAGGTAGAGAGGGTGGCCGACGGCGTACAGCATCTACATTCACTTAGAGTTAACCCCTATCAAAATTCACCTTCCCTGAACCAACCCATTTGAAGCATATGTTGGACTTGATCGAAATCGATAGTCGAACTATCATCATCACGGTAAATGAGCATGCCATGGATGTCAAAACGCTGAGAGCACTTTCACCGGCACAGACACTATGACTATGGCCTTACTTAGCGCACGCATGTCAACGTGATAACAGTGAGGGAAAGTTCGTCAAAATATATGGAAAAAAGGGCATATGAAACGTCCCAATCCCTCAGGCTTCCCATCAATGCCAAAAGAACGCCTTTCCTTCAAAACAGCAAAATGTCTTGATTATACAAAGTACATAGCTTCCGCTGAGAGAGGGGCACCCAAAAATAAATGCTTGAGGAAATTTAAACA